ATCAAACAGAGCTGTAAATGGTGCAAGTTATAACCCGCCGTGTGTCCTCAGACGTCATCCTCCTCCTCCTGATTCTTCACTACAACGGCAGCCTGCGGCAGAGCCTCATCTACGCCGTGGTGTATCCTTTCACTTATCGCACCAATTGATGTGAAAGTGCTCGTTCAATTTGTGCAGAAATCAATGACCCATTAGACTTTTGTGTCCCTGCCTTAACGTACTTGTGCTCAGGTTTGTGGGAGGCTGGAGGCTCCTGACTCTGGAGAAGTGGATCATAGATTTGGCTATGGTAATAAACCTGTTTAAAATCAATCATAAGTCAGTGTGTGCGTGAGAGACAGAGTCAGCAAAGAGATGGCATGTCATCAGTCAGGGGCAATGAGGTGGAGCTTTGAGAAGAAACTTATACAGACCTCATTTCACCCGGTGTTTCTCACCCAGACCTTATAAATGCCAAATGGCCCGGTTGGTTAATGAGATGAACATGTCTCAGGGCGTTTTGCATTTAAATAGGTGAGAGCAGCGAACCCTCCACATCCTTTCCTCTGAAAGTTTGACCGAAGCAGCAGAAGGTGTTTGAAACTTTTTGAAATTCAGCTCCATGTTCAGCTTGTTATCACATGAAATCTGACCTCCTTCTCCTCTCAGAGCCTGTGCACATTTATTAGTGCAGCCAGTAAGTTTGCCCAGCTGCAATGCCTGTGGAGGTCAAAGGACGGCAGGCAGGTTAGTGCCCTCTCCTGGGCTCTAGCTACCTACACGTGTATGGGTGAGTTTAACCAGCCAACAGCGTTCGCTGTGTTTTTTTTTGTTGTTGTTGCATTCCCCACTGTATGATTAGATATACATTTAAGTTCGTAGCTGTCACTGGCACAGTTTTGAAAAAAAATTTCTCTTTTTTAGCTGTGTACCAAACAACATTGAAGTTGTAATATTATAACTTAGTTTAAAATAAAAACTTTGAGGTTAAGTTTGAGGATTTTACCATTCATTCATAATACGTTAAAAAGTAATTCAGTAGTCTTTGTGGAGAAGTCTCAGCAATTTCTTCAAAAATTATAATAACTTTAGGAATTAAAAGATCTACTGCTAATTTTATTTGAAAGCCAAATACAAGCAAAAGATAGCAAGAACACATTAATGCTGATTTGAGAGGAAAATTGAGCTAGTGAGCCCTACAACCTGGATGTACACAGTTTATATTGGTGTATGATCCCAGGATCCTTTCCATGATTAAGAAGAAACCATTCACAAAGGTCATCATCAAGAGAAGACTTTTGATAGATAAAGATCAACTTGTGAAAAGAAATGTGGAGGTTTCATAATCCAACTCTGTAAAAATGTTACATAACCGCTGTTCATGGGGATAAACTGCTCAGATTCATACAAATGCAGCAAAGACTTACTGCAAAATCACCTCAAGGGGATCTGAAAGTTAAGTGGAATATTCTATAGTAGGCGAGTCGATCACCTATTCAAAACCCAGTGAGTTGCATTTTAAAATGAAAGGTAGAAACAACAACTGGAATCACTTTAAATTTAACTCCTCAAATTAAAGCTGAGCCCTGAGTCTATATTCAGTAGATCACTTAAACTTGTTTCTGTACTCAGCTTAAAAAAAAAAAAAAAAAAAGAAAAAGCAAATACGGTGTGATTATCAGAAATTGTAACAAACTGCAGCATGAAAACGTGCCAAGGATACTGTTGCTACTTTTCATACTGCAGTCCTATCGCTGTCAAACTGAATCCTGTTAAGCACTTTTATCAGTTCACATAAATCCCCCTCCCTAAAGTAACAAGTCTACTCTTTCATTTCATGAATATGCACGGTAGTGTTTATTCAGCCCCCAATTTAATAAATGAGCAATCCAACGCTTCATTAATGAATGATCAGACGCTCTGTCGAGTAACAGGGATGTCATTAACTCTGCTTCCTCTTTGTTTCAGCTCGGATTTACACCACCACAGTGACAACTGGAGACGTGCAGGGTAAGTCTGTCTGAATTACTAATGACTGTGGGAGGTGTTGCATCCCAGAATTTTTAATGAACACTTCAAGGAAAAATGATTTGTTTTCTAAATAACCATCGTAGATTTAAAACGAGCATTTTTTGTGCTCTTCTCTGGGAAATATCCTAAATAAATAAAAACCACAAGGAAGTGAATAGTGACTTTGTTTTATACTTAGCGGTCGAATTCGTTTAGATTAGACTGCTTTAAAACAAAAAGGGACGTTAGTGCGGATGAGGCCACCCGGGCCCGTTCAGTAATCTATCAGTAATGCATCATACTTCTATATTTCAGCAAGAGTAAAAGTGGGGTTTACAAAGCATTAGTGAGACCTCCTATGATGTATGGTTTGAAGATGGTGGCACTGACAAAAAGACAGGAGGTGAAGCTGGAGATGGTAAGATTTTCATTGGCAGAGACCAGAATGGACAGGATTAGAAATGAGAATATCAGGGAGAGATGGTTTGGACGTGTGCAGAGCAGAGATTGTGGATGTACTATACAAAGGATTTTGAATGTGGAGCTGCCAGGCAGGAGGGAAAAAGGAAGACCACACAGAAGGTTTGGGGATGTAGTGGAGGACACAAGGAGGATGCTAAGGATAGGAGGAGGAGAACCGGAGTCTGGTTAGTATTAATGGCTAACTTTCAGTCATAATTAATTAAACTGGCAGGTCTAAAGGGCTGCTTCTTTACAATAATGAACGTCAGTAACAGGACTGTCATACAAATTTACACATCACCGGAAACCTGCAGTTTCTTATAAGACCAAAGGATTTCAGGCATCTTTTACCTGGAGTATCTCCGAGTAGTCACCATTTGTAACTCCAGCTCTGCTGTCCTTGTGTGATTCAGAGACGTCGCTGTCAGCTTCCGTGTTTCTGATCATCTTTTCTCTTTGCAACAGTTCTGGTGCGGTTCATAGCGATGACCCTGCTGAACCTGTGGGTGTTGCTCACTGTGCTCCACTATCAGAGACGCGGCAGCAGCTCCAAGAAGAAAGACTAAGTGTTTAACACTGGATTCTGCAGATCAAAGACAGCTGGGTCACTTTAGGCACAACCAATACTGTAAAATGAAACTGACGGGTAACAAGAGGTCTATCAGCAGAGAGATGATTTTTTATATAGTCTGTCTTCCCTGTTAAAGCCACACATTTGTTTGAATAACATTCCAGTTTGTAAAAATCTGTTGATAGGAAGAGAGACCAATGCTTTGCCATACAGTCTGACACGACCCCACGTATATGTGAAACGATCCTATTCCGGGTAAATTGTTTTGGAAAAGCTTTTGTATATGTAAAGTTATTTTCTGAACTGTTTCAATAAACCAAATTCTACCTTTTTACAGTGAGGTCATTTAATTTAAAATAGAAAGTTGAGTATGGGAGCTCAACACTGCCAAAATTCAAAACAAAACATTGCATGAAATATGCCACAAATTCAATCTCAGATTGATGTGATTTAATTTGCTTTATTGTAACTCACCATGTTTCTGGACAAAGACACAGTTCTTGTGATTGTGACACCACCACGGTGGATTTCAAATCAAACAGGATTTGACTGAAGTGCAGACTTTCAGTTTTAATCAATATGGTTTAACAAAAGTATTGCAGAGACTGTTTGGTATTCAGGCCATTTGTATTCAAGGTCCTCTCAGAGGCTCAAAATTAATTGGACAGCTAGCTAACGAGCAGTTCCATGCCCAGGTGAGACTTGTTCCCTCATTATTCCATGACAGATTAAGAGGATAAAACACCTGGAGTTGATTGCAACTGTTAAACTTGCAGGGGATATATATGTATATATAATATTTATATTGCGCGCCAGTAAAAGATGAGTGGACGCCATCATTTCCCAGATACACCAAATTAAACCAGAGACACAAGGAAAATGAACAAACTTGCCAGCTCAGCGACACTTAATCAAAAGGCCAGCGTAAACATTAAGGGATAACATCTACAAGAACCTGCAGAGTTCTGAAAAAAATATTTGGACAGATTTGATTTAACCTTCATTTATGCAGGTAGTCAGGTAGACATTGAGACTCAATGTCTCATTTAAAAGAGAAAGAACAGATGAGCTGTCATGGTACGAGAATGTAAGGAACCAGGTCACTGGTGTCATGTTAATCCATTGAAATTTGGCCTATACTCACCGAGGTCAACTCAGTGCTTCATTGTTAGAAAACTGATTTAAAAAAACAAACAAAAAACCCTTAGAACTTATGATTCTTATTACCGTGGTCATTTTTGCAACATATAGAAAGTACTGTGTAAAGATTTAAAGTATCAAATTTGACCTCTGACATATCCTTCAAGAAAAAGTGTAATCGGAAGGTTAAAGTGATAATACTTTGTAGAGCCATTTAAAATTGTTTCTTACTGCCAAAAGTATTCACTCAGCCATCCAAATCATTGAATCCAGGTGTTCCTATCACTTCTACATGTGTATAAAATCAAGTACCTAGGTGTGGTACCTTGACAGGATGCCACCTGTGGAACAAGTCCAGATGTGAAATTTCCTTGTTACTAAATTTCCAGTTAGTGGCGTCATGACAAAGCAGAAGCGATTGGGAATGACAGCTCGGCCACAAAGAATTTTCTTTTTGCCTGTCCAGTCCGTCACTGTAGCACTCAGAATTATTGTCTGAAGGCCAAGAATTTTCTTTTTTAGATTTCGGTATTATTTAATGTGTTTCTCTTTCGTGTTTCAGTAGTTTGAGTATGACTGACAGCTTGTGTTGGACTCAATATCAGAATACGGAGGATTCCATATGCCTAAAAAAACAAAACAAAAACAAAAAACAGTGGAATAAAATCAAAAATATCAATTTGTCACAATTTATATTTATTATACAAAACTGCTTACTATTTAATATTTTTTGTGGCACATTTTTATTTTGGCACTTTTGGTTCACCATAGTTGTACACCTCTGCAGAATGACAACGTCTAACATTTTTAAAACAGAAAAACGATCCAAAACCAGAAGGCACATCCATGTCTTTATTGTTGAAGTGGTTATTATCATAGAGCTGTTTGATAGCAAACATGCAATCTGGATGTAGAACCCTTAAATACAAAGTTGACAAGGCTGTATAAATAATATAATGTGCACTGTATGGCATGTAAAATATATACTGTGTATATTTATATGTATAAAACATGCTTCTTGGTTAAAGGAGAGTGCACATACACACACACACACACACACACACACACTCAGTTTACTCTCCACCTGCTAACTAAGTCACATACATACGACAATGTGCCCAAACTCAGAGTTTGGTTTCCTTTAATACAAAAATAAGGACAAACACTTTTAGAAAAAACTTCAATGGAATAGTGCTGCTCAGTATTTCCACTCATGGTTTCAGGATATGATTGGATACCTTCATTATTTCGGCTTCTTATTGGTTAACTTCCCTCATTTTCACTTTTGGTACTGACTAAAAATGACTAGGCATGTGGGTGAAAAAGCAAACGCATGCAAGTTCACTCAAGAGTAGTTTGTGATGAAAGGCGCGGCTTCAGTCAAGTATACTTGGATAATACAATGCCTGTGTGTCGTCTCTGGTGAAGCCCAGATGTACATTCAAAAACAACAGAAGGAGCCGAGCTCGGATCAGAAAGCATTAACGGTGCACCCCTTTGAATTCAGTAAACATTAACCCTCAGAACTGACAGTGCAGGTTTGCAGAGATTATGGGATCGTGAGGACTTCATGTCTTAATCTAATGCCATTTCAAGCAGGATTCTGTTCCCTTTGTAGTCGTTTGACGTCAAACCCATGATTCAGCGTGTGCATGAGTCAGAAATCTGAATAAGAGGCACTCTGAGAATTATTTGCTCATATCCGAGAGGAAGCTGGGCTTCATTTGCTGCCTTAATGACTTTCCATGAAGTCACAGCTCATTTGGTTCCTAAGTACCTTATTCAAGATTCCCCATGGACACGCACCTGAAAGCAGAGCTGTGAAAAGCAAGAAGCTACAATCATGTTAAAGAGTTTGAAAGTACAGACACCATAAGCCAACAAAAATACAGACTCTTCTGAGTGTAGTGTTCCCCCATTAAACCCTTCATATTGTTCACAATCATTAAACACAAGATTGTCTTTTTTTTCTTTTGGCCATGAGAATCCTCAAAGGTGGTGTGGAGGTGGTTTCCTGCTGGCTGCTTCAATCAGACAGAACTGTCTGTCCTGGAGAGAACTGTTAAGGTAAGTGTTCCCCTGTTCTTGTCAGCCTTGGTCAGGCTCATAAGAGCTATCCTCCATTGTGTGGGAGCCGAACAAGCTACTCCAGCATCCAAGAGCTGCACAAGTGCTCTCGCCAAGGACCCAGGAGAGGACTTGGGTTATATGTTTATGAGACGCCCAGCTTGCTGTAAAGACGGCAGATGCTGAGGTGAGCTTGCTAAGTGGCTTGGAAACAAGCTGAATAAAAATGGAAAATGCCAGACTTGGTAACTCTCGCAGGCTGAAACGGGACAGGGTGGAGTGGGCAGTGGAGAAACCAGTCCAGTGTGCTGATCTGCAAACGGAGCTTTGTATAGAGTCTTTGATTTAGGAAGAAACTCTTCCCACCACCTCGTCGATGCACCACACTCCCGGGCAAGGTTAACTGGAGGGAGAGAGAGAAACAGATGCAAGTTAATCTCAGCAAATATGCAGCGAGATGTCAGGAAGATTAAAAGATTGGGCTGTGATTTGAATGGAACAGCGAAGGCATCATTTCATACAATTACCAAATCAAGGACCTGGCTGATTTTCAGACCGAATGTAAGAAGCTGCATTTTTAATCGTTACCCTACATTTATTTTATCTCAGCAAAAAACTCAAATGATTTAAAAGTCTTTGTAGTAAACAAACTGGCTAAGCATGCATTAGTCCTACCAAGATATACAATGATCCTAATTTGGATTTTAAGCAAGTCCTATGTCCACAGACTGTATATAAAAGATGGAAATAGCCACCGAGCAGAACATTTCAGCCATTGCCATCTTGTTTTTTTCAATTATTATTTTCCTTATACATTTTATGATTTAAGGGTGACGACACTCCACACTCATCCTGTGACGAACTGTCAGTCACAAGATGGTCTTACCCTAAACCAGTATATTTAACTAAATTGAGAACATGCTGTAATAAATGAAACCACTGATTTGATCCATAAGTTCACCAAAAAAAAGTGCTGATTGAGGTGTTCGCGTGAGCCTTAGTAATTTTCTCTGCTGGCCATGAGACAGACGGCAAGTCAATTCTGAATTAATTTCTATGAAGAGCATCTGCATGACTTTGGTCCTGAAAACCTTTTGGTTTCTTACTGTCGTCCACTGCACAGCCTGTGTGGAAAGCAAAAGAGGTTTGCTCCAAATTAATTTCAGTTCATTCCAGTTTATCTGCATTTGTAGACACTGCCTGGAACATGAGAAATGAAAAATCTTGGCTTGGATTTCTTCTAACTAAATCAGACATCCCAACAAATTGTCCAAAATTCCAAGAGGCCAAATCGGCAGACTAGCTGATGTGGTTCCAAGATTGGCTTCGCTTCTCAGGTCATCATATTTTATTCACAGTCTGAGGACAGATCAACATTAAATAATCTAAAGTCTGTGCGGGTTCAAGCGAGTCGCAGCCGAGTGCTGCCTCGCTAAAACTTGAATTTTTTCAGTCGTGAGAAAAAGTCCTGTCTTATCTCTTGTTGTGTGAGAAAGGGCAACTTCAGACAAACCTGAGAACTTATTCTCCTGAGTTTATGTGTCAATTTATTTTTGTCCAGTTCAAAACACCCAGTGCCCAAGTGATCCCAACTCTTAAAAGAGCAAATCCACCCAAACTACGTGGCTCAAGGTCCATAATACAGAGTATATTCACCACCTGCACCACCTCAGTGACACCCAAAACAAACAAACATACACACACTGAGAAGTTGAGATGTTTACAGGGAAACACCTGGTCAAAAGAAGAACAAGGAGGAGGAGGAGAAGGAAGGAGCTGTCATTTGTACCAGGTACTGCTGGAATCTTCTCGCTTTATTTTGAAGCCATTTGACCTGCGAGGGCTGAGGTCAGACATTTTTAAGGTTTTTTTAAATGGCAGGCACTGCACAGCACACATTGCACACAGTGTTACCAAATGTGGTGATCAGAAATGTATAGAGGAACAGTCATCATCTATATCATCCAACGCCCAGTGCCAGTCCTGGAGACTGGAGTCCTCCAATCTGAAAGGGGAGATTAGTTTTCATGGCCGTGTAATCGTTACTGCACACAACTCAAGTCTGTTCTGTGGGGTTGTATGAGGGCAAATCCTGAGACATAGAACTGGACTGGACCAGGACAGACAATGACAACAGTTCCTCAACTTCTGCAGGACACGCATTGTACATAAAGAACAAAGCCTCACAGGTTAACACCTCAATACACCTTAATAATAATAATAATAATAATGGATACTTTATTGATCCCCATGGGGAAATTACTTGTTTTTCTCTGCATTTGACCCATTCACTCAGTGAAGCAGTGGGCAGCCCACTAAGCAGGCGCCCGGGGAGCAGTGTGTAGGGACGGTACCTTGCTCAGGGGTACCTCAGGGTAGCTGTTAAGTGGATTCGAACCGCCGACCTTCCGATCATGGGGCGACCACTTTACCTACTGAGCTATCCCTGCCCTTAAAAAGACGTCTTACCAAAGCTGAATAATCAATACGCTAATTTTTCTCCTTCAAGATCATCAGTCGCTTTTTTAAGATTGCTTGTTGAAGTTGCATTTGTAGCCTGTGCACATGATGTGCTGTTTTGACAAGAGTGGATGAGATGTAGAGTGCACTGAAGGCACTTTATTATAAGTGGTCAGAACGGGACTTTCAGTCAGTGATTTTAAAGCAAGAGTTGCCTAAAGGTTTTTTTTGTGGTCAGTCAGCAGGCCATTATGGAGAAACAGTCATATTAATTGTGACACACAACTAGAGCTGCTCAATTAATCGAATTTTAATCACGATTACGATCTGGGCTTTCAACGATCATTAAAAATGACTGAGCCGATTATTAGCCCCTCCCTCGTGCTTTACTCTCGCGCTGCTCCGTGTGGCAAATCGAGTGCACCTCTCTGCATTTCGAACACGCGTCACAACAATTAAGAGGACCCGAGGGAAGCTCGGAAAGCTAAGCAGAAGTTATTTGGAGAGGAGAGTGACTGCTGTTGGTTGAAAAGAGAGGTAAAAAAAACTTCAGTGGTGTGGAAACATTATGGGTTCGCGGAGTCAGACGTGGATCAAGTAGACATAATGTGTAAACTTTGCTACGGTGTCATAGCTGCACCACAGAGCAACACTGCAAAGTTCACTAAACATAGATGTTTACTAGGGGTGCAACGATACACAAAATTCACGGTTCGGTTCGGTTCGATACTTTGGTGTCACGGTTCGATATTTTTTCGATACAAAAAATGTTCATGCATTTTTAATTTGTCATTTATTAAAATTATAAATATATATTTGAACTCAAAAGTACAGTTTTTAAATTTAACACTAACCCTTGTGCGTGTTTTTTATTTTGACAGCGAATGCGCACCTGCGGACCACTTATGTGCAGCCCTGGTTATTTAGCTCATCATATTGCAGCCACAGAAATTCTTTTGTCCATGAAACCATAAAGCTGCACTTTCTTTTTGCCTTATAGTCTGATTTGTCATAACTTCTCCGTTTTGTGGTAAGCTTTTCTTTGGCTGTCACTTCTTCACTCTGACCTGTCTTATTTGGCTCAGCAGAACTGAAATGCTTTTACACACTCACTCACATAAGCTCAGCGATTCTCTGCACGATCAACCTCTCACATGTTTAAGCTTGCTGCAGGAGATTTCACTTGTCATGTTTGCATAGTAAGCTAACGATTAATAAGACGATGTCAGAGGAATTGGTGCACAAATTATCATCACTTACAGATCAGTGCTGTCGCTCTCTATACACAGTTCGCGCGATTGCAAAGTGAAAGCAAAAAAACAAGCGCAAATTCAAACGCGACTTCAATATGTCACATATTGACAGTGGCTCACCGATGCCAATGACATAATTACCCAGCTACATTTCCGAAAGAATGCAAAAGCATTGACATATATTTTTCCTACAATAGCCCGACGGGCAGGGAAGAGATAGATTTTGGTAGCCCGACTGAAAAAAAATCGCTAGCTCCGGGACGTCGGGCTAGCGATATTGCAAGCCCTGTATCTGATTGAGGAATCACTCATCTTTGGAAAAGAGAGTTTATTACAGAGAAATGTCTCTTTCCAAAATAAAAGCTATACTATCCGCTTCTTCTGGGCTATATTCTCAGCAGCATAAGGAGAATCATGTGCTAACAGCGGTCTAAATGACTCGGCTAAAGTTAGTAGCATGCTTGTTGTTTTTGTCTTTGCACTAGGATGATGTCGGCGTAAATGTGCAGTCATATTCGTTGTGTTCCCACTAGTGCTTTCAGGTTAATCTCGTTGAAATGACCTTAACGCCACAACACGGCAAATCTCCGTTAACGAGCTACCGCCGATCACTCCGTGCATGGGGCTAGACGGCCAACACGTTAACGAGCTAACTGCGCTAACACACTAGTTCACACCAATGTAATTGAGCATTGCATGGCACATTCAACATACTGTTTTACTTTAGTCCATGACTCGCTTACCTTCAGGGTCATACGTCACATGAAAACCAAAATAATTCCAAACGCCAGATCTGAATGAGGTTCAATTTGCCTGTTGCAAGGAGAGCTTAACTTCTGTCTCGCTAGCTTGCCCTGCGCTCTTCCTTCTGACTATGCTGTCTGTGTGGAGCGCTCAGTGGATCTGCGCTCGACAGTGCAGCCTAGGCGGAGTAGTCGAACACAGATTCACTGAGTGCTCAACACAGACAGCATCGTCAGAAGGAAAGTTGATAAAATAAATTACAAATGTTGTATTGTTCGATACATATGCGTACCGAACCGAAAGCACTGTATCGAACGGTTCAATATCGATACGAATATCGTTGCACCCCTAATGTTTACATTTTTTATTTATTTTTTATATTGCAAACATTTGCACGGTTATCAGTATTTGCACACTATTTTATATTATTTTTTTAAAGTCATTATTTAATACATTGTTATTGTTAACCCTTTAAAGCCAGTCAGAGCAGCACGCTCTGTTTTGTGTAACTATTTTTAAATCCCTGTAGAACCTGAACCATGTAAGCTAGCGCAATAATTTTTTTTGCATATGAAACTTACATCTTATGCCCTCAGCTTGTCCTCGGTCACGGTTTCCTTCCACATAAAGCTTTGCAAAAATTGCATAAAAAGTGCTTGCAGCAACAAAAACATAATATTCCAGAAACACGCTTTGCCGATCCGATCAGCTGTTCGTAACACTTCCCACATTGAAACAGACGTCAGCGCGAACTATCGCATGTCCGCCATTTCCTGCCCGAAACAGGAAGTGATGTCATTTTCACGGAAAATGTAGGTTTTTTTTTTACTTGTAGGCCTTAAAAGCCTATACTGGTGTTTTTATAAGTCATGTTTGAATTTTCTGAATAGTTTCTGGGATGCTTAGAACTCGAACTGCACAGCTGGAAATAGTTTATTTTGATGCTGTTTTCTTTGCAAATTTGCATCATAGGATTGTTTTTGTTTTTCCTGCAGTATATAAAAATTGGTATATCTCCAAAACAAAACTATGAAGACACTCAAAATAAATTTCCTGTGGTGGGAAACTATTTTTTGCAACTTTTTTGTATTTAAGGTTTTGAGGGATAAGCCTCTTAAATTTCCCCAAGTAGAAATATATGTAAAAAAAACAAAAATGATTTTCAATTTTTTTGTAGTTTATTGCACTTGTTTGCAATTAATGTAGTTACTATGGACTTAATGCATACATATTATTAAAATATGGGCTATAACAGTTGTATTGATGTATAGCAACTTGAAATGCTCCCAAAAATGGCACTACAGCATGTAAAAAAAAATAATATAAGCTCTGACGGGCTTGGTTCTATGGTAGGTCTTAAAGGGTTAAATAAATATCGTCAAATAATCGAGATCTCAATTTCAGTGAAAATAATCGTGATTATCATTTTTGCCATAATCGAGCAGCCCTACACACAACACTCAAAATGCAGAATATATACTAAATACTATAAATAAATATTAAACTTTCTGGATGTAGTATGTTAATCAAATACACAAAAATTTCAGTTTTGAGGCTTTTTAGTCAGCCTGCATTATATAGGTCACTCCACTCACACTGTATGTACCTCAAATCATTAGAAATCTAGCCTGGAGATCCATAAACTGTTATTTGTTTACCTCCTGCACACCACTTTAACTGTCATAGCTAACATAGATGAATCCAAAATCACACCTATAGGTGTCTATTACATAAAATCAGCTTTTTAGTCTACCTGCTCTTGCTGGTGGGGAGCTGTCGACTGGGCCTCCTCATGGACTGGCTGGGCTGAACCTTCATGGAGGTCCGCGGTGAGGAGCGTGCGAACTGTTCTGGGTGTGGAGGCTTTTTGGGAATCTTCTTGACCAACCGGCTCACCCACTTCTGCTGCTCCTCCTGGGACACGGCGAGCAGGAGCAGGTTCTTGGCTGTAGAAATGTCGTAGTTCACTGGTGGTAGAAGAGAAATGTTCAGTAACACTCCAATTCACAAACATTTAAAAACCCACCAATTGTAAGTAAGATCGAAACACAGCTTTCATAGAAACAACAGGAGCGTCCTACCTTTACAGGGGGCGATGATCTCCTCCTTCTTGTCCATGTGATCCTTGTGGCACTTGATGTGGCAACGCCGGCACTCCAGAGCAGGGGGCGGCTTGAACATGTTCCACAGTGGCTTTGTGCAGGCCTCACAGTTGGTGGGGAAGTGGTAGAGGGTGGGAATGAACTCGTGGCCTTTGTGGCAGACGTAATTGGACTTTTCTCCAATGGGATGCGGCTCCACGGGAAACTCTGGCTCCTTTTTGCTTTCACCTTCATTGGCATAAAGAATCTGGAGAGCGTAAAGAGGACATATCTAACTTTTTCAGCCTTCAACAACTCTTTAAACAATCAACATGCTCAAAGAAATAGAACATTTTCAGTAGAGCTAGGGCAGACCTGGAATATCCTGGGAATTTCTTTGGAGTCAGCTCGATACACATCTGTCTGAGTAACAGGTCTCACATGGAAGAGTTTACTGTGTGACAGAAAGGAGTGTTATTTTCTGTTTAAAGCATAGAACGTGTTAATACAAACTGAGCTGTTTTCTTTGCAGAGGTGCCTTCAGGTGTCATACTCACTCTATATCGAGCACCATGTTGGGGATGGACTGCTCTTTGTCTTGCTCGCTGTTGTAGAAAAGAATCTTCTTGCTGCTTACTACAACGTACTGCATTGACAGGACAGAGGTGGTAAGAAAAAAGGTCACACGCTGTTTTGCAGGGTCAAAGCAGTCTCAATGGTTTAGTCCTACCTTTCGCTCCCATCCAAACTTCTTGGTATTGTTTCTGACGGGGAGAGACAGCCAGCCCTCGAGCCTCATTTCTGAGGGCAGAAAGAGAATTTAGATCATTATGGTTTGGTTTGAAGAAATCAACAAAATCACATCACATTAAAGTGAAATATTCTAGTCAGACATTATGCACCTTTATAAAAATGCTCTACTTGAGCATTTAAGCACTTTATATAACACGCCTCATTCCCCCATTCTCTTTATTCTACATCTAAGTGATTTGCATCCAACCTCCACACACATTCACACTCTGATGAAAGTATTCGAGAACAACTCAGGGTTCAGAATCTTGCCAAAGGATGCTTTGGCATGCGCGCTGGAGCAGCCAGGGATCAAATCACCAATCGTCATTAATCTGTGCATAACACACTAATGATAAAATGACTGTATTGGGATTGAAAGTACTTAATTTGAGCTGAATTATAGCGTCTTTCTTCTGAAACTTTCAGAAATTAGGGTTATTCCATTACTCTGACCTGGCATTTTCACACAGGGACAAACAATGCATGTTTTCTCTTTTCCAGATGTTTGTGTGGGAAAAGTCCAGTAGAACAACAGTTTCTGAAATACGCAGACCTGGAACCAACAACCATGCCACGTCACTCAAATGACCTTTCTTCCGATGCTCCATTTGAACTTCAGCAGGTTGTCTTAACCGTGTCTACATACCTCAGTGCACTTAGCTGTTGCCTTGTGATTGTAGGATTAAAGGCATAATTGAGCAGGTGCACTTTGTGACGTAGCCAGTGAACGTAAACATTGTACAAGAAGATGTTTGTAAGTGACCTTAAACCTTAAAGCTGTGGTGAAGACAAACTGTCAGAAATACTTTCTTTGTTTAGTGGCTGAGCTCTTACCTGTGTACGCATCATCAGCATCAAACTCGGGCCCGCTGCTGACGCTGGCGGAGTCCATCGACTGAACACTGAGCGTCTGCAGGAGATTTCTCAGCTGCTCAATGTCACTGTCCTTACTGTCCAGAGCCATCTGCATCTCAATGCGCATCTGGCTCTCATCTGCCAGTTGCTATAGATTAAAATGAGAAGAAATAACATATTGTAAGTGTCGTAGTCAGAGATACAGCAGCAGAGTGTCGTTTCACTGCAAGGGAAAGAAAACTCAGCTGTTCACTTACTGCTTGCATTTCGTTGATCTCCTTCTGATATTTGATGATGGTGCTGTTCAGCTTTTCCTTCTCTGACCTGAGCTCAAGCTGCAGCTTCCTGTTCTCCTTCTCCTTTCGCCGCATGTCTGTGTCGTTACCACGGCGGCTGCCTCCGCCACGCACTTCCTTCCTGTTCATGATCTCTGCCAGCTTATTGACGGCCTGCGGATGGGGATAAGATTCAATCTTAACTTAAGAAAAATGATGGGAAAAAATGTAAATTTTTTTTTGTAAATGAAGGGGAGGATTAGTCTTGAAAGTCTGTCTCTTCATCTTGTGAGTTATTGCTTTAAAAACACCGACCTGGGTTTTTAGCGTCCTCTCGCACTGCAGCTGCTTCTCAAATGCCTGCTTCATCTGGCTTATCTGCTGCTCCCAGTCCTTCGACTTCTCAGTTTCTGAAGAGAACAAAAAAAAATAAATTATGTACCCACACCAAAATATATAATTCTTGTAATAAACATTTAAATGTTCTAATTACCCTCTATTGCCTCCTTCAGTTTGTTGTTCAGTTCCTCCTTCTCATTGGCCAGATTGGCGACATCACTCGTCAGGGTCCTATTAGCTTCTTCCAGCTGCAATGGACAGCAAATACTTTCATATCTGCTCTTTTGTGGAACTATAAACTCAACCTAATCTCACACTATTTTCAGAGCATATTTATTGGGCTTGAGATGCACTGCATTTACACGTCGTGATACTTCCAGGACTGTGGCGAGTTATTCTATTTAACAGCCTTTAAACGTCTAACGATACAAAGACTTTCACCTCAACTCGATCATCTTTATTTCACGCAAACTCAAAATCTCACAGAGCTGATGGTGATGTCCTTCTCAGAGAGCTCCTGGCGATGGCGAGCCATCATCTCCTTCAGCTCCAGCTCCTTCATTATCTTCTCCTTCTCGAGGTCGGAGTACTGCTCCTCAGCGATGGAGCGCGCCAGCTGCTCCGAGTCAGCCTTTGTCAGAGTGATCTCCAGCTGTGCTGCCAAAGAGTCCCTGAGAGGAATAAAAAGAAACGCAAGCCTGAGCAACCCACCACACAAACCACCCGAGTCTCTTATTGGAGATAAATGAACCGAGCCTTACATTCATCATCACCGTTTTTCTGCTAATCATTTTTCGAAGATTAAAGTGGATGAATTTATTTCAAATTGTATCTTCAAACCGAAAAACCTCTCACCTCTCCTCCTGCAGCTCCTGCAGAGACTGCTGCACTTCTTTGTAGAGTTTGTTCCTCTCCTCACATTCCTCCTTCAGCTCACGAACCTGGGTCTTATAGAGAGTCTGGAGAAAAGGTAACAGGTCAAATACGCCCCATACTTAATACATCAACAACAAAACTCTAGATAACTCTTTAATGCCGAAATCTCCAATGGGAGGGCCAGAGAGGTGAGAAAGTTTCCTAACAACAAGCTGCTCCTCCTGACTGATAATGAACATGGTAAAGGAAAGAATCACTCAGGCTTCATGTTGCATACACACTTTGATACATACTGTTGACATTGTACAAAAACATTAGCTAATGGATGCCCATTGAAGTCTTCACCATCATTCAGCTCTTGGAAATGCATAACATACATTGGCTACAGAAATAAAAGGAACCCTCTGATTTTAACAGCCTACGTTCCCATAGAATAAGACTGTGCTACGGTTTATTTACTTTATTTTCTAAGTGCATTATGGAAAATACATTACTTGTTATCCTATATCATCTTTAAACATTACTGGATTATTACGCTTGAACTAGGAAATAACAGCAATGCATTACAATATGGGAAGATGTCACTCCAGTGTAATATAGCTGACTGTTATTTGACAGCATAGTCTGGAGCAGCCCCTGTAGCTCTACTCTATAAATATCAAAGCACCTCTATATTGTGGACGTAAGAATTGCTAGACCCCTACACACAACTGAAACATTTAGTGAGTTGCCTTTACAATGAGTTAAGCTCCAGCTTGGACTTCAACTGTAGCGCTAAACAATTCAGAGCACCTGCAGTTATAGGCAGCAGAGTTGGAATGAGTCTCTGACTCACAGGCAGCTGAATATTTTAAAAACTGCCACAGCAGCGCCCTGATCAGGCTGAAAGGAGTGAAACACAATGTGGACACGGCAGGGAAAAGCTGTTTAGCCAGAAGGAGAGAGGGGACTATTCAGTAGCAAATCAATCAGCAGTTTTTGGCCGCTCAGTCAGATGAATGAAACTATAAAAAGCCTAAAATGCCAAATGAAAGTGTCTTCATTTTCCCATCCACATCTGTGATCAGATATCAGACTTACTGAGAAATACTGCTCAGCCTCTAACTGGTCTTGTAACTCCTTCATTTGTCCATCTGTGTCCTGTCTTTCTCTGTGAAAAGAAAAATGAGTCGATGATTCATAATTTGACCGCATAAGGAGCCTGCAGTGTGCCTGCTGGGAAAGTGTTACAACAAAATGAAACTTACTTGCGCAGCTCCTGGTTCTGCTTCTCCAAGCTGCGCTTAATATCCAGCAGGTGATTAGTTTCCTGCTTGAGCTGCTTCTCGGAGGTTTTCAGAGCACTGAGCTGCTGGTTTTGAGCCTTCAGGTCGTTCTGAGTCAGGTTACGCTTCTGGGTCTCCTGCTCGATCTTCAGTGTCAGGTTCTTCACCTGAAAGAACAAAATGAATTTAATAAAAGTTTTTTACTCGCATCAGCTCTTTTTTCATTATCCTTCTATCCAATTTCAGATATGACACTCTTTACATTAGCTGCTGAAGTAGCTCCTGTTGGTGACATTTGACAGCTAAACCCAAACTTCACTGGTCTCCTGTGCAGAACAGAAACGCTCACCTCCTCAGTAAGGTGATCCTTGTGTCTGCGCAGCTCGTCTAGCTTCTGCAGGGCCTGTTTGTTGTCACAGTCCATCATGCTGCTCTGCTTCTCCAGCTCTAGTATTCTGTTCTCCAGCCGCAGTTTGGCAGCTCGCTCCTCTGCCAGCTTCTGCTCCAACTCTGAATGAGAGTTATTCACTTATATTATTTAATTTCCCTTCTGAAAAGTTAAATCAATAAAATTTCTCATTCTGTACATCTTGTCGCAATCTGTGAACTCAGAGCTGTCGATCAGCCCCAAATTATATAGCTCGAACCCTGAACTCGGTACAAACTGTGAAAGAACAACCTTGTGGAAACAAAAGATCAGAGCCCTTACCCTTCATGGACTCTGACTTGGCGCCCTCGATGGTGACCTTGATCTTGCTCTTGTCTGCCTGCATTGCTCTGGTGGCCTTATGAGAGGCCTCCTCCTGTTCCAGCTCCTGCTGCAGCACCTTCAGCTTGTAGGTCAAATCGATCTCCTTGTTGCTCTTCTCCTGTAGAAAACACACACACACACAGATGTCACATCCAGAGTAAAATCTAGTCAGAAAATTTCACACCAAACGCTTTGAGACCAAGCCCAGAAAGTCGTGTCACTACATGGTGGTTCACATTTATATGTATATTCTAAGGAAGTGCAGTTAGAAATACTCAGTAAATCAATAAGTACACAGTTTCTGAAACAGGTCAGTTACAGTGCTGCAATAAATTAGGCCTTTCTTCTCAATTTCTCTAAGATATTTTAAAGTCAAAAAGCAGGCAGTTATGCAATTTTTAATATTAATCTATGAAAACAAAACAAAGTAAATACTTTGTATTAATCTTCCCGTGTCGACTGGAGTTGTGATTAAAGGTTTGGCAGTCTTTTAAAATAATTATTTGGCCTACAGTGGGCTTGAGTTTGAAAATAGCTGCTGTAAATCAATTATTTGTCACTTTAATCAAAACAAAAGACTTTCCCGATTGCTTTAATAAAATAATAATTTCTCACTGATGTCAAATGACCTGGAACAAACAGTCCAATCATGCTGTCCTCAAATCCAAAAGCAGATGTTTCCAAGAAACACTATGATACTACTTTTAACATAACTTTTACTTAATTTGGATCACACGTGAGGCTCAAGTCAAATTTCCAGGAACTGCATCTCAAAGCAAAAAATGTTTCCAGTCAGGATTTTGTGATTTACCTTCTCCAGATCAGTGAGTTTCTCTTGAAGCTGCCTCTTCTCAGTCTCAGCTTTGGATAAAGCCTGTTTCTGCTGACGGGCCTCCTCTTCCAGGCCAGAAATGCGTCCTGCAAGATAAGCCCGCGAGAATCCTCAGAGTTACATTTCACGTACAGATCACATAAAGCTTAACCCAACAGCAAACTATGGCAAACGGTAAATGGCCTGTATTTGTATAGCGATTTACTTGGTCCCTAAGGACCCTAAAGCCTATAAACGTACAGTCGTCAAGAATCTTTATTTCCATTTTCAATACATTATTCCTGTCTCAACTTGTATACGTAAGTCCTTTAATCTTTCTTAACGTCAATTTTATCCCCTCATTAAAGCTCAGTCTGAGGTCCGTCTGCTGTTTCTATTGCAATTTCAATTTTAGTTACTATTATTTTATTATTTGTCCTTTAATTTGTGTATTTATTTTCATGTTTTAAGTTTCTAATTTAGGTCTGGTTTGTTTATTCCAGGTTTACTTGTAAACTAGCATTGTTAATCCCCTGACCTCAACTAAAAAGCACTCCCTCTGATTTAAATGTACTTTACACATACAAGTTACTTGCCTGTTGTTCATATAATGACTCTGGTCAGCAAGCTCGGGGCAGTTCAGGGCAACTACCAAGAGTGTATGTTTAGTTGTTCCAACAGTGCCACAATGGGTTATTTATACACACATATACATCCCCCAGTTACTTGTAGTAAGCAACGGAGGGCAATATTTATATTAATACAAATATTTACATAGTTCAAATGAATTTCAGCTCTTGGACCAACTAGAGGAAGTAGCTTATTATACTGTGCTGTGTTTTATTTGTAAATGCAACACTCAAGTCACTGCATCCGAAGACCTACAAACATTCATAAGGCAGAACTCATGGTTTGTGATGCCCACGTCCTAATTAACGCAGTCAGATAAGAGGTTTTATGTGACAGCTTAAGTAGCCCGAGAGCTGCTTTTAATCAGATTATGGGTGAATTGTTAGCCTTTATGTAAGCACACTCCCTACAGTTACACAAATATTACAAACTGTCCAGGCGCACTGGAGCAAACAGGCCGCTTTGACCCTTCTGTCTTCAAAACATCAGCTATATTTGTTTATCTGACACCTCTGGACAAACTTATTTTTACTAATTCACATCAGCCTTTCTCAAACACACACAGTGTGACTGAACTGGAGTCAGAATCCATTCAGCAAACAGCACAGAGTTATTTAGTCCTGAAAAGCCTCTTGACTGCCCTCAGCATTTGGGTGGCACATTGCTGTTCCTCATCTAGCTGCCCCTTTATTAAACCTGCCATATAAGCTCCAAGGCAAGCAGGAGGAAAACAGAAACTGAACTTCTTTCAGAGGAATGTAATTACATTTCCACCTCATAAAAATACAGGTAAACATATCAGCAGCTACAGATGTGCCTAGAATTATGACTTATACTGACATCCAACCTGAAATTCTGCACAAATCTATTCTTTTGGTTTTCTTTATGCTAAGGTGAGAACCAAGAACAGAGGTGCAGTTTCTTTTTCTGATTGTGAGACGAATTTTGTCAAATTTGGTGGAGCATGAGCGAAAAACTAATACAAGACATTTTGGTGCTCCATGTAAAACTGCTAAACTGAGGATGCTCCAACTCCCTATTCATTGGTTTAGTATTTTATAGGTTTGTAAAGAAGTAGGTTTCACTTTTTACAAACACCATTCTGTAAGATCTCTTTAGATACACCGATGAATACAACATGTAATATTCCTGGTATCACTTTTATTAAGTCAAATAACGCACATAAATGACAACTGTTTGCAGACTTGACAAAGAAATCTTCGTGTGCTGTTTCACCCACCCATCAGGTCAGTGATGGTTTCCGAGCCCTGGCTGTGCTCCCTCCTCTCCGTCTCTAGCGCAGCCTGCAGGCTGATGCATTCCTTCTCCAGACTCAGCTTGCTGCGCTCCAGCAGGCAGCATTTGTCCTGCAGCTCGCGCACGTTGGCCTCCAGCTGCTGCAGCTGCTTGCTGCTCTCAGTTTGGGCTTTGCGGAGTCTCGTCGCCGCCTCCGTCTCGGCCCGCAACAACGTGTTGGCTTCTTCCAGCTAAGAGAAGAACACGTACACAAATCACACCAATATTTTCCCTTTAAAGGACTCCGAGTCCAACAAGGTGACTTGACAAGATCACAGTGATCTTTTCAGTCTGGCTGGACATCAAATATTAGCTTTTACTTTCAGCTGTTGTGACTGTTAATGTATTTGGTTTTACGTCTATTCAAGGCTTTTTATGTTATATGCTTGTAATCTGATGTCACAGAGCTCATCGTCCATGCTGACCACCCCCCCCAACCTCACCAAACATACATCAAGGTAGGTAACCGACCTGTTTCTGGAGGTGAATGTTCTTCTCATTGGAAATGTGAGAGTTTTGGTTTCGCTTCTTCATGTCATCCAGCTGGTCTCTGAGGCTGTTGACTGCACAGATCCCAAGAACCAAGACAACAATTATTATGATGAAGTGTGTTTCAAGAAGTGAAATCACAATTTAAAACTGATAAAGTTTATTTAAATGCACCAAGTTCTTCATATACAAACTGTGCAAATGAAATATGGAAACAGAGCTTTAGTTTGGTTTAATAAAGACGCTGGAACCAAAAGTTATACAATATGAATATTACAAAAAAAGCCAGAGCACAGAAGAGAGTAGACCTGATGTGTTTGTATCAGTGTCTTTGTCCAGGTGATGGCAGTATTACCCACTTTATCTCAGTAAAGTCACCATGAATTTATATCATTGCAAAGCCAAAAGAAAACGTAAGAAGTTTCTGACTTTACACAAGAAGAGGGGGGTTGATTTTTACTGGATTCCTGTGTTCATTTTATTCTCTTGCTTTAATGCATCACTGCTGTCGAGTTTGAATCTGTTTCTTAAAACAAATGCATTTAATCAGCCTCATTTTTCTCACTCATGATAGAAGTATTATAATGTTTTGTCTTTTCAGTTCATGTAATCGATCACCTTAAACAAAGCTAACCTGCATGAAGGATGTTACACAAATAAACCGAGGATGTGTGCCGCTGTATTTTTTTTTTACTTAAAAGCTAGTTAAAAAGCTTTAAAAGTTGTCTCTTAAGAGAAACGTCTCTTACTAGAAAATATATTTTTCTGTGAAATGTAATCATTTCCAGTTGATAACTGGTGTTTAACTTCCTGTACAAAAGAAGTAAATCTTTTCAGCTCTGCTGCAGAATCCAGTGTGTCTCGTGTCACCTTCGTTCTCCAGACAGCGCTTCCTGTCGGCCTCGCTCTCAGCCTTGCGGTGGCTCTCCAGGCTTTTGTGCTGCAGCAGAGCCTTCTCCCTCTCCAGCTGCCTCAGACTCGACTCCAGGTTCTTTCTGCTGCTCACCTAAAAATCAATCATAAACGCCTTTGTTTAACATCTCCTGCGGGGATGGTTTCATGCTACTGTGATTCCATAATTCACTTTATGAGAAATTATCCCCAGAATCCAAATGGGCTTCAACACAAATTCAATCACAATAGACATTTTAATGTGGCCGTTAGAATTCAGCAGGCGCTCCAGCTGAACCTCCCTGGATACGAGACGCTGGTATTCAACCGGAAAGTGGACAAGTGTGGATAATAAGAATCATTATTCTGGCTCAAATAATAGAGTTTTTGGGAAACGCCCATTAAAATGTGTGAGGAAGAAAGAACTTCTAAAATCCCAGAGGGGTCGTGAACCAGCAGATATTGACGCCAGACAGACACAGAAATATTCAGGTAATTGGATGTTCCCTGTGATTAACTGACCTCTTCCTCAAGTTCTTTGGAGAGCTTTTCCAGACGAGTGGTGGTGGCCCTGCAGAAAAATACAAATGCTTAAAAATAATAATTTGGCCACCGCGCATAAGCAAATAAGTGGAGCAACATGATGTGGCTCTTATTCCTCATACACAATGTTCCCTACAGATCACCCACCTGTATTTTTGCTCTAGATCATCTTTGACTTGCTTGTCATTATTCATCTGCATCTCTAGGTGGCGAAGTTTCTTCTGCAGTGCTGCTGACTAAGGAGAGAAAGAAAGAAAGACTTCCAATTTATGCGCTATACACTAAAGTCAGAATTTAACACACACAGGGTAAGAAGACATGTAACATCAATAGCTAGCTAGACTTTGCAGTGACACGCACACTGTCTGAGCACTGGCAGAACGCCTGATGCTCCTCTATAGGAACTATCGGCCTTTATAAGGCCGATAATTAAAATAAATTTAAAAGTCAAGAAAAGACGACAGAAACACCCTTCAACCATGTTTTGAATGTTGTTGTCCTTGGTCAAAATAGCACAGAAACTATTTTCATGGTTAATGGTGTACAGTTTTTAGGGGCAGTCTTTTAGGACTATAAACATTCTTACAATTAGAAGTATCACAACAACCTTAAACCACCACATTAGTCACTTAAAGGTCAGTATTGAAATACAGCTTACTATACCTTTAATCACCTATATTTAGGCAACTGATTAGAAACAAAGCGAAAGTAAAACATAGGGTTTGTTTTGTTCCTCGTAATGGGGGCAGTCTTTTAGGACTGAAGTCAATAAAAGTTCTTCAGATTAGCGTTCGGCTCAGCCACTTATACTGAAAGCTGCTTAAGTCTCTGTGTGCGGCTGAGAACACTGAAATTCTAACAAAGTACAAATAAATCATGGGATCAGGGAAGAAATCCCCCTGTGAGTCATTTCCATCATAATCCTTGATGTCTTACAATGTGAAGTTGATCACAATGTCAACAGGCCTTTTCTGTGTGGTCATGTAAACTGATACCAGACTTATTTATTTCCTGAGGAGCTCGGTCCGGTATTAATGCAGTCGCTAAAGGTGCACCTGGCAGTTACTGCGTGTGGGAGTCAAAGTACTTACCTCCCCTTTTGAATTCTCATGAGCCACTGAGTTGTTGGAAGCATTTAATAACCTGAAGGAGGAAATGAATAAAATCAGCCCAAGGTCAAGGACACTAGAGCCAAAAGTAAATCTATAAATTGTCTTCGTGGAACCACGGAGGTCCCTAAAATCATGGGAAATGAAGAGAATGGGATGATTTACTGGTCTTCTTTGAAGTAGGTGAAGCCAACAAAGGGTAACTGATTGCCGACAAATGCCTTAGGTGTGGGGAAGGTTTCTACATCGCCTTTGTCGTCTTCTATCTCATCAAAGTTGCTGGTGTCTATGTCACTGCTCAGCTCTGGGACCACAGGGGCAACCGCTGAGGCGAGAGAGAGATAAAGAGAGAGACAGGAAAAAGGTGAGAGTGAATTGGTGGAAAAAGGAAGCACTGTGTAAAAATATGTCAGTCTAATAAATCATTTTAATGTGCTCTCTGATCCAGCTGCTGTTCTGAAGGAATTCCTGCTAAAGTTTTAGATTAAAGACGATCAAGATTAAAGAAAAGGTTTGCAGGTGCTGTTATGCTGAATTATATTTCATTTAAATCTAATTTTGATATTTTTTAATGTTGTTTGATTGATAAAAACTGTGAGTTGAGGGTGTGACCGTTTTTGGCTTCTGAAGTAGAGCATGCCAGAAAAAAATTGGAGTACATCTGATAAAATTTAAGAGCTCTCACAGGACAACAACAACAACAACAAAAAAAATTACTCATCTGCGGGAGCTGCGTTCTATATTTGGTCACAAATTCTGACTTTCTCCTGAATTACACTTAGGAATGATAATTTTGTATGCTTGATGCATTTCTGGCAGGTATGGCCAAAGAAAGACAAAATCTGCTGTGCCCAAAAGAGATATCCACAAGGTAAACAACTCAGAGGTGTTACTCTGCACACAGAGTAAAGTGGAAGGAAAGGTGAAATTTGATTTTAGATGTAGGAGAACAAAATAAAGTATTGTGCAGAATTTAAATGTAATGGTTTTTGAAATTGTTTTGGAAAGTGCACAATGGGCTTTGCTGGAAGCTGAGCACTCATCTACAGTATATTCTACGTTCATTTCTACTGTTCTTCAATTTAGTAGTGGAAAATCCACTTGCTCTTATTTTAAAAGTTCAGTCGCTGTTAACCATCTAGCCTCTCACTTCCCAACGACCAGCACGCTGGGCAGTTCATTGTCATGGCAGCCTTTGATGCAATTAAGCTGCTTTTTCTTGCAGACAGACAGACTCAAACTCAACAGTCTTGGACTTGCTGCTGGTGACAGCAGTCCTCCTGCTCTGGACATCTGCAGCAAGCCAGAACCTGCAGGAGGTGGAGGTCTAGTTCTGCTCTGTACAAGTACTTTGCAAATAAAAATACCCATGTGATCTGCGCATGCACTTACCCAACCACCAAACACATGGTGCTAAACGAAATACACTTCATATTGAGAAAAAACTAAAACATGTATCATAATGAATGATCATAGGTAGCAGAACAAAGGTTGTATACTAACTGTCTCTGATGGTGTCAAAGGTCCACTGGTCATTTTTGAAGAAAGGATGTCGCTTGATTTCCTCCACGCCGTTTCTGCCTAATCGCACCTCCCTCAAAACAAAAGCAGACAATGAGTTGATTGAATTGGACCTTTGTCCTTAGTTAGAGGTGACTAGGAATAAATCAACTAAGTCATACAAACCTTTATAACCTTAAATATTAAGAGACAAACACACAGATAAGCGTAAGTGTGCTGTTGTATCAACATATTATGTAATCTCTAAGTATTGCCACACAAAAAAAGAAACCTTGTGCTTACGTCTGGGACCAGCATGAAGAAACTACAGCTTAGATATATATATATATAAAAAACATCCCCATGAAAGACAAAGTGGTTTGTGGGTTGACAGACAGATGGAGATGGACAGTTGTGTATAAGAGGAAGAGTTTGAGAGATAACATAAGACTGCTATTGAGGTTCCCCCTGTTACTCTCTCCAAGAAAATACACAGGTGCATTTTCCAAAATGTCAAACCCCCTGACATCTTCTTCTTGTAAGATCATACCTGTCAGTCAGGAAGGCACAGATGATATTCTTGGCATTGTTGGAGATCTCCACATCATCTGGAAAATTGAGGGAGTTCTTGTGGTCCATGATTTTACTGTATGTTCCCACCAAAGAGTCTGCGTAGAACGGCGTGTCACCTAAAAGTGAGCAAGCAACACTGAAATAAATTGAGAGACATAAACATCAACACATACGAGTTAAATTATTTTATGAAATGTTCACCGACCGACGAGCAACTCGTAAATGAAGACCCCTACGGACCACCAGTCGCATTCTCTCCCATAATAGCCATCTCCTCCCTGGGATTTTAGCACTTCTGGCGAGATGTAGTCTGGAGTCCCAACAGCTGTGTCACAGTGCACCATGCCGGTCTGCAACATAAATCCAGAGATCATTATATGTTTAGTACCCTACAGGTATGGTTTGATTTATATGGGCATAAGCTAAAGCAGAGTGTTGATCCAAACTTAAGAGACTACTAAAAACTAATCCTTCCAGGTGAAGGCAGAAGCAGAGCTCACTGTAACAGCTTAGTTATTAAAGTGGACTTGTTATATTTTTATTCTTGGACTACACTAGAGTAGCTAAATCAAGCCATTTTAACCCCTTCCCCTCTCTCTTTAAGCCAACTTTCTTCAGCCAAAGAAACAGTTTGGACAGCAGGGGGTCCCTGAGATGATCACATAAAAATATTGTTTTTCACAGACATCATAGAGAGTAGAGAGAAGAAGAAAAGAAAACTGCTGAAGCTAAACATTTATAGCAATCCAAAGTCTGAGGTTTAGCTTTATTTCTTCTCTTTGGATTTTTTATTAGTGTTTTATATATAACGCTTTTGCACTCTCACAATACAAAGCCCTCAACTATGCGTCTATAGCACTTTGACTGTCTTTTTATTATAAACTGTATTATTATTATTCATTATCCTACTCCAAGTGTCAGCACAGCATCTATCCATCTCATACACTGACATCAGTATTTTCAAGCATTTTAATGATGATAATCTACCACTGCAACACCACATTAAAAAGAGAAGTCATCAACAGCTCCTCTTTGAAATAAAGTATGGGCCTAAAAAACCAAACCAAACCAAAACAAAATAAATCCAACTCTTATCTTTGCCAAAATAGTCTGCTCTAATATACTGGTTTATGCACAAAAAAAGACATTTATTAACTGGGCTTCACTACATCATTATAAGCATCTCAGAATCATTAAAAAGCTGCACCAAATGCAGCCCTGGGCCTTTCACGGCTTCACCCACGGAGCCACATGTGAGAACAAAAATGTTCAATGCAGTCGCAGCGGACTTTAACCTGCCAGCTCTCTGAGCAAAGCTGCTGTAATGTCTCCACTTAAGAAAAGGGCAGGTGATAGTATGATGGAGCAGAAAGTGAGCTTCATTTGTGCTGTCTGACGCACGCCCCATCCAGGTACCCTTGTAGTTACACTACTGAATCGTTACTTGTTTCCATCATATGCAATAAGCCTCAGGCCATATCTAGAGGTTACTTGTCTAAACTGAAGCATTTCTAGTTTGGCATTTGTTGTGTTTGTAACCTGGTAGGAAACTCTGCTGGCAGCAGAGACTCAGGTTTTACACTTTTACTCACCGAGTCCATTTTCATGCAAGTGCCAAAGTCAGCCAGCTTCAGGTGTCCGAGTCTGTCCAGCAGCATGTTGTCTGGCTTCACATCGCGGTGAATGAAGCCCATGGAGTGAATGGCGTCCAGGGCCATCACCACCTCCGCTGTGTAGAACTTGGCCCACTTCTCCGGTACATCATAGGTGCTGGTGAGGTTAACCAGGTCGCCTCCTGGCATGTACTCCATCACCATGTAGAGGTAGTGGTCATCTTGGAAGGCAGAGCACAACTAAAAACAATTTTGAGGTTTAATAAATTAATATATAAAACACATATTTTGCAGAAAATGTATTTCTTTGTTCTAAGTAAAACAAAGGATCCAAAGTAATCCAACTGGCAACACGTTCCCAGTGAATATTCCAATTAATGCACACGAAAGCTTTTTAAAAGCTGATCAGCAACTTAAATGCTGTACCTGCACAACCCAGGGACTGTTGGAAAAAGCCATGATATCTCTCTCTTCCCAGAAGAATGCTGAGTCTGAGCGTTTTATCATCTCAAATTTGCTGAGCAGCTTCATTGCGTAGACCTTCTGTGAGGCTTTATGTCTGACCTGAACAACAGGAAGATAAAGTTTAGAGATTCTCCAAAGTCTAATCTTACTCTATGAGAAAAGTTTGATGAAATGTACAAGAAAAGATACAATTACAATCACAACAGATAATTCATGAGTACATGTGCCACTTTCAGATTACAATACAATTAATGTAGACTTTTTTTTTCTTTTTTTCTTTTTTATTCCCAGAGTGCATGCTTAGTTGTGGTTTGTAGAGTTTTCAAAAGTAAAATGGGGGCAGAGGCCTCAAGTATCAGGTTTCTCTTGTGGAACCGGCTCAGTGTGTGAGTTCAGGATACAGGCATGCCCTCTACTTTAAAGACTCAGCTTTCCTTTTTGATAAAGCTTATGTGTAGGGTTGCATCCTTTGGTTATGCTGATATAGGCTCAAGCTGTAGAGGGAACCCATTGCCTCTCCGTGTATTCATATGACACCACTACAGAACATAATTTGTGTTTTTGGTTGTTGGTTCTAAGTGTTCATCTTTTCACCGTCCACTCTCCCTTCAGCATAAGCAGCTGAGGTAGATGACTGGTTTACGGTGTCAGTTTGCACAGCAAACCTCGTCATGCAGAGAAAAGGATTATGGAAGTGAACAGGCATTTAAAAAGCTCTTTTCTGATCTTACTAACCACTCAAAGTCTTTTAGAATACAAGCCACAATTAACCGCACATTCATGCACTTCGAGCACTTGTATCTGCCTCACATCCACAGCCAATGTAGAATCACAAATAAACATAACATGTACTTCTTTGGACTGTGGGAGGAAGCCAGGGTACTTGAGGTAATAGGCTAAGGGAGAACATTCAAACTCCACACAGAACTATTCAACTATGCAGGAGATTCAAACCATGAACATTCATGCTATGAGGTAACAGTGCTAACCATGACTGTGGCAATACAAGCAGTAGATACTTTTGACATGCACTTCTCCAAAGTTAGAATCGTTTTGATGGTATGATGGATCCTTGATGGACGACTATACCACTTGTTTTTTTTATAGTTGCTTTTACAAAGCAACTATAAAAACAAAAACAGTGTTACCTGTTCATATGATCAGTACTTACCAGTTGCACTTCACCAAATGCTCCTCGGCCAATCACTTTAACTCTGTCAAAGTCTTCAGACTTCATCTGCAGATCTCGAATCTGGCCAATGACTTTCTCATCTGAAGCAAAGGTTTATTGACAGGACAGAGGAAATGAACGTGCATTAGTGTTGTAAATACAACGCAATTATTTAAGTGAACATCCTCTATATATTTATCCATCCATTTTCTACTACTTATCCAGGTAATGTTCCAACAATTTAAGCTGAGATGCTCAGACTTCCCAGAAGACATATATAAAGATAGCTATAGCCACGGTTTTATCACCCATTGATTCACATGATAATGACTGATCCATAAAATGATAGACCCTGTGAAGTATATCCAGTTTTACTATTCTCTGTCTAACGAGTTTCATAGACAATAGTACTCTAATGACTACTAGAATTTACAAAATGAACATAATCTTATGTTAAATAACCTTTGAAAGTAGCAATCAAGAACAAACTCATTAGGAAGGCATTTATTGATTAATACAGCAAAGAGGCAGTATTTTATACCGAACCTTTTACATAAAGTGATGATTTGACTGGTTTTGATAATCAGCCTTTTCTGAATAATTGAGCTGTTCACCTTCTAGATAATCATCTCTCATTAAGCTACTCACATCTGTTTAAGAAGGTCTCAATGTTTTTGTTCTTTCGTAGTGCAGGGTAGCCCAAGTCTAAGACCAGCGCATTCATGGAGTCCTGCAAAAAAAGAGAAAAAAACCCCAAAACATTAATAATAAGCTCTAAGAGATCTATAAAAAAAACCCTCCACAACACAGTGGAAATGCTTTGCAGGAAGGTGTTATGAAACCACAATGACACTGCACTGTTAAATAAATCAAAATCAACAAATGTACAGCAAAGGCACTAATGTGCTTTGAAGCAGTTCGAGGGGGTCACATGATTATCTAGAGGATTAACAATTCGGTTGTTCAGTGATGATGCGACGAATCCTACTTCCGGGTCTAAAGTTGTCTGCGTTTAATATGGCTTTTGTGTTGTTAACATGTTTAATGTTTTGTATTTTCTTCTATTTGATCTCAAAAAGCTCCTAAAACAGTCAGTGATCCCTGTTGACCTCCCTCAGCTTTTATGACCGCTAATCATTTGTTTAAGCTCAGTTTTTAAAACCTTAGGATGTAACTACAGCCCAGCCCATGCAGCAGTATATGAATGACTAACCTCACTGGTTTGATTTTTTCCCTCGTATCTTTTCTTTGGCTTTTCATCAAGTCTGTCTTTGTACGGACCGGCATTGTTCTCCTTCATTTTGTACATACCTTTTTGGGGGGCAAAGAAAAAGCAAGAATTTATTGGAACCGAAGAATGAACGTTTTGCGGTGCTGCAAATGCTTGCATTTGATGCGGTACTTGGATTGTTTTGCCACGAGTTCCCGGCATGCAATGCACGAAAGTCACGTGGTCTGTCAATCTCTATTGTGGATGGATTATCTCAGTTGTTCTCCTGGCTGAAGTTTGGTCCTTTTACAGCATCCTGCCATGCGATTACATTTGTTCCTGACCACCGAGAACACTCACGTTAACTTTTATCGAGTGGGAAAAAAGTTAGCTTGTTTATATTATGCTAACATAGCTGTGTCGCTAGCGGTCACATAGCACATCATTATATACCAGCTAGCCCAACTTCAGTAACCCTACAAACGTCACTGCTGTTTAGTTTTCTGTCTTCATTTATGTTAGAAGTGATAGCAGAGCTGTACGTTTTAATTTGTTTCCAAAACCCCGCAGTCAGGACATGCTATATTGTATTTAGATAGAAGCTAGCGAGCTAACGTCCTGCTAACTTCTAACTCCGTTGAATGTCATAAATTCCGTTTTCATGGATGCCTGGATGTTAAACTCAATTGTTACACCTGGTAGAGCAGAACGCTGATCATTTTATTAAAGATGAAAGACTTTAGACAGTTTTTCAACTCTCAGTAATGCCATAGTGATCGTTTGATATATGGACCTGCAGTGGAGTTTAGGCCCAGACACGGCTAGTGACGTCAGACTGAACAACCGGATGGGATTCAGTAGAGCTGGGCGATATGAGATTTTTTCATATCACGATATGTTTTTTTCATTTCAGGCGATAACGATATCTATCACGATATAAGCCAAATAACTATATTTGTAAGATTTAAATGTGCCGTTGCTCACAAGTAAAATGTGAAATAATCAGCAGCTTGTTTTTATTTAAATATTTATTTCCCATAATAAGTTCAACAGGGTAGATGTACTTAAGGAACATGAGACTTTTTCAGATAAATAAAGGCAAATATTGCAAACTACACAAAAGGCAGCCGCTAAAGCGTTTAAGTTTCAAAACAGAACAAACGAAACAGACTAAATTGTCAATTCCACTTAGAAACAAAATATTAATTCTAAAAATAAATCTTAGTTTGTTTTACAGAAGAACAGACAAAACTGACTAACTTTTGTCAATATCAAATAAACTGAGAACTAAAAGGAAATTCTCAATCTCTCCTTGTTGTATAGCTGAGCTTTTCAAACACTTTTAACAGTTACTTTAGTCTGACAAAAGCCGAATGACGAATTAGCGCTTCCAGTCAGAGACTGAGGCTACGTCCACGGGTATTTTTGAAAACGGAGATTTTCCGTTTTTGTTTTAAAAAATAATCCCGTCCACACATAAAGGCAGAAATGAAGGAAAACGCTGCTATGAACATGCCAAAGCAGCAGGTGGAGCTAGATTCCTAACCGTGCCGAAATGTTGGCCAATCAGAAGTCTAGAAGCCTCGGTGGGAAAAAGTAAACAAAGCTGGGGCATAGAAGCAGAACCGAGTCGTATGTGTGGAGGGACAGTAACTGTGTGTATATGTAAGCATTTAAACACTGCAGAGAGTAGAATTAACAGTAACAGTATTGTTGAAATTCATTTCACCGAAACAATAACGTGGCGCACAGTGTGACGCATGCACCAGTTTATTGTATTTCCAGACTTGCTTTCGGCACAGTTTACAGTGCACGCTACTCTGTTTTTTGTCAGACTTGAAATAGCCGAAATACCTTCACACTACGGAACTTCTATGGCTCTTCCGTTCGACAATCTCTCCGGCATTGGAACCATCATCTGTTTTCTCTTCGGTCACGCTCGGTTGATTTTTCTAGTCGGCACACTCATTTCCTCCATTACCCGCTGGCTCCATTACCCGCTGGCTGCTTCCCAAACAAACACACGTGCGGCTTGGCACTTGTGCTGTACGTAACAAGTCACGCGGACGTGACGCTGCGGCTGTGATTGGTTCGGCTCTGCGCTACTTAATTTGGATTGGCTGACCTTTTTTTTTTTTTTTTTTGAGGACAAGAGCGGCGAAGTCTATCGCGATAGCTTAATTTCTCTATCGAGTAAAAGTTATATCGCGATACATATCGTTCTCGTTCTATCGCCCAGCTCTAGGATTCAGAATATGGTGGCATGCTGTCTGTCCTTCCTCCCCTCAGCAACAGCATTTTCAAACTTGTCACCTCTATGGAAACATTAGTCACAGTGCTGTTGCAAAACAAATCAAGCCATCATAAACGGCGCATGGATGGTAAAAGGCTGCGTCACACAGCAAGTCACTGTGTTTTTGCATGAAATGAGACAAGTAGTCATGAGCTGCCAGGAAGTCTGTTGTTTGCATCAGCACTGATTTTTCACACATGATGCAGATGATGTGACGTGTGAGCACTCACAGATTAGGTGTCAAAACAAAAAGTGCATTCAAAATTTCCATAATTTGCCATTTACCAGTTTTTTTTTTTTCTTTTTCCTCACTGAGATATAAGTCATTTGGCTGCACTTATTTTAAGGAAGTATGAACTATAAAAGAAATGTGTCATAATCAGTAAATACCAGCTTATTTTTATCCCCTTATCATCACGACACAGCCACTGGTAATGAATTAATCCAAAAGATGAACCATAAAACAAAATTAAAAATATGAAATCTAGTTTCAAAATTAAAAAATAAAAATGTATCTAATGTAGGGGAGACCATAAATTCATGAGGGAATCTGGACCTGAGCAATTTAAACAAACAAACAAACAAACAAACAAACAAAAAACCTGTATGGAGTATCTTTTGTTTTCTTTATTTGGTGCTTTAAATTTTTTACTTCCTTAGCAATAATATGCTGTTTTGGGTGCATTATGAAATGATACATTGTTAGTATTGCCTAACTGCTTTTGCACACATGTATCAAATTAAAAGTAACCCACACTGATAGTAAATAGAAAATATTCATCAGCAATCGCTTTAAAAATGTTTTTTTTCCCCTGCAAGCCAAAAGCCAACTGTATTTTTGATTGTTTTGGATTTTGAATCTAAATTTGTGACAGAGAGATGCTACAATGCATCTGAGTTTGTGTGTAAATAACAAACATTTAAACAATAGGAGCATAAAACAACCAAAATAAGAATGAGTAATGTAAAAAAAAATAAATAAATAAAAATAAAGGTAGAAAAAACTAAAAGGAATATATTACATTACAGCATAAAGGTCAGCAGTTCTTTCATCCATTGTCCATTATACTTAAAAAAAAAAAAAAAAAAAAAAAAAAAAAAAAAAAAAAAAAGACCTGAGTCACATCTGTGGGCAGATTACTCCAGAGATTTGTTCCATAAAAAAAAGAAAAAGAAAAAAGCATATGTAAATATAGTGAGCAGAGTTCAACAAACAAATGAATAAAAATAAGATAATAAAAATAAGTGAAAGTCCACAGTCTCAAAGTTGGATGTCCATTTCCCCAATGTTTTCTGGTTTTTATTGTTTGAAATTCTCAGAGAGGAGGGTATTTGTTCCACTTCACATATTTCGTGAATTATTTTTGACCTTTCAAAGACTTAAAGAATATCCAAAAACAACAATTTTCTTGGTCAATGGGCTTTTTATTTGTTTGTTTAACCGGCACAGATAATAACAGAACTTGACTGCAGGATAGTTCACATGTTCTCTGATGACTACTAATTAACAACTTTTTAAATTTCTGAAAAGAAACTCCTTCGCCTTCAAAAGTGTTAAAAGATAACTCCCAGGTTCTTCGGAAAGGGTTTTAAGGAGATCCATATTAGTATCTTTCAGGCCGTCCAGTAAGCCCTTTAAAGCCATGGTTTTGTTTCCCAGCAGCACATTAATCTGAAAATCATTTGTACAGCATTTACTAAACCTAAGGGAGCAAAACCAAAAGGCTAGGCTGAGATGGGACCTCAGAGGGACCTCACATGACCTAAATAAGCAGCTAATGAGCATCCATCCTATTTGGAAAGCTTCTAAAAATAAATAAATAAATAATTTTTTTTTTTCAAGCATCTTCCATTCCAATAAAGGCAACATGCTAACTTAAAGCAAATCCAAATTCAACATTACAGACCACTGACCGCCTTTCTAAGGACAGTTTATGTTCTATTTTCTCACCACTGCACAGAACGAAAACAGTTCCACATCAATGCAACCCAGCGAGTCTGAATGAAAAGGGCCAACTTCCCCTCAGCATTTCATTCAACACAACAGTGCTCAACTTGACTGACTGGATACACAAACAGCAACTACATACAGAAGAAAAGTGTTTTAACTGAAAGCTGTGTTCCTCGAGAGAGACAGACTGTGGAGCAGTGACTCATTTTTCCATCAGCAGCTGCCTTCTTGATTCTCTGATATTCTTCTGATAAATGATGAACACGCTGTTTCTAT